AAAAATCAGTTTCCCCATAGGAAAATTTGTTTCTCAGTTTTTTTTCCTTTTCATTTTTAGGTTTTTATGTTTAAATATTTATTCAAGTTGAAGTTTAAACATAATTATCGTTTTGTTTTTTATTGAATTTTGATGTTCCCAAACGATAATAATCATAATAGCAGATGATCATAGGCGTAAGTAAAGGGTAACCAACTCCCTTTCCCCACCTAAAACAAATTGATGATTGATTGAAATGACCTCTGGGCAAAATATTTATTTTGATGCTGAATATTTTTTTCTGTTGTCTTTAGGTACATATTGGCCTCTCTCATCTGGATACGCCAATGCATCCCGACTCTCTGCAAGCTATCTTGTAAATAGAAATCATTATGTAATATTTGTTAGGGTTATTAGCAAAATTGTCAACGCTAAGTGAAGTTGTTCGTTCGTTCGTTCAATCGCAGCCGGCTGCGATGCAGAGGAATTTTTTTTTACATTTTGGGTTAAGATTTTTTTGTCTATGTTTTTTTTTTTTGCCTGATGTTGACAAAGTTAATTTCGAGTCGAGAAGCAATGCCACAGAGTAAATATTATGTTTGTGCAATTGTTTTTAGTTGTTGTTGTTGTGATGAGAGTTTACATTATGTTCGGTTATTTAATGATGTGAATTGAATTTTTTTATGTTTTTTCGTGGGTATTGATTGTACATTAAGTTTGTGTCTTAAGTCTTTTGTTTTTTTCTTTTTCTTTGAAGAAATTAAATTTGGTAATAAATGAATATTTTATGAATTAAAAATTTAGACCTTTTGAAATGTACTTAAGTCTAATAAATTATTAAGGAAAATCAATGCTTCAGTCATGATTTTTAAACAATATGTTTAGGAGAGCCACTAGAGCTATATACAGGAAATTTCAAAGCATATTTTTAGGAGGACTATCTCCCCAATAGTCATGGATTTTTTGTAATAATTTTTTAAAGCACAAATTGTCGAATAAATTTTGATGTTTTTTTAAATAATATTTTTATGGCACCAAACGGCCCAATAGGCTTTGTTTTTTTAAGAACGTTTTTGGGAGCACCAATTGCCCATTAGAAATGGATTTTTAAAGAATATTTTTAGGGGCGCCATTTGTCCAATAGGTATGGACTTTTAATGAATATTTTTAAGAACACCAACTGCCCTATTTGCGTGGATTTTTAAATAATATTTTCGGAAGCAACAACTGCCCAGTAGGCGTGAATTTTTTAAAGAATATTTTTAGGCGTGGATTTTAAAAGAATATTTTTGGGAGCATCCTTAGCCCAATAATCGTGGATTTTTTTAAGAATATTTTTAAGGCACCAACCTTCTAAGAGACGTGGATTTTTAAAGAAAATCTTTGGAAGCAACAACTGCCCAGTAGGCCTGAATTTTGTAACGAATATTTTAAGGCGTGGATTAAGTTTTGATTTTTAAAGAATATTTTTGGGAGCAGCCTTAGTCCAATACTAGTGGATTTTTAAGATTATTTTTAAGGTACCAATTACCTAGAAGGCTTGGATTTGTTTAAGAATATTTTTAAGGCACCACCTGCCCAGGAGGCATTGATTTTTAAAGACAATTTTTCGAGCTCAAATTAACCTATTAAGGCACTAAGCGTGGATTTTTTAAGTATACTTTTGGGAGGACAACTTGCCCAAAAATTTTTAAAGAATATTTTTAGGTATGGATTTTTAAAAAAATATTTTAGGCGTCGTATTTTTAAAAGATTATTTTTAGGCGTCGTATTTTTAAAAGATTATTTTTAGGCGTGGATTTTTAAAAGAATATTTTTAGGCGTGCATTGTTTTAAAGAATATTTTTAGGCGTGCATTGTTTTAAAGAATATTTTTAGGCGTGCATTGTTTTAAAGAATATTTTTAGGCGTGCATTGTTTTAAAGAATATTTTAGGTGTGGTTATTTTAATGAATATTTTAATCGTGTTTTTTATAGAATATTTTTAGTCGTGGTTTTTATACCCTTCACCAGACTGTGGTACAGGGTATTATGTCTTTGTGCATATGTTTGTAACAGGCAAAAGGAAACGAGATAGACACATGGCTCCTTTTGAGAATATGCATAGAATCGCTTTCTGAGTCGATTTACGCATGTTCGTCTGTCCGGCCGTCTGTCCGTCTATGTATTTTTGTGAACAAAGTACAGATCGCATTTATGATCCAATTTGGATGAAATTTGGCATATGTCACTTATTTGGCCCAAGGACGAACCCTATTGAAATTTGGAAAAATTGGTTCAGATTTAGATATAGCTCCCATATATATATTCGTCCGATTTAATGTAAATGGTGCACCAAAGTCCCTATATATCTCTCAATTTGCACGAATTTTTGGACAGCGTACTAAATCAAGTCTAGAATGACGTGTGTTAAATTTCCTGGAAATCGGTCCAGATTTAGATATGGCTCCCACATATATTTTCGCCCGATTTAATGTAAATGGTGCGTCAAAGTCCCTATGTATCTTTCGATTTGCACGAAATTTGGCACAGCGTAATGAATAAGGTCTAGAATGATGTCTGCTAGGTTTCGTGAAAATCGGTTCAGATTTAGATATAGCTCCTATATATATTTTCGTCCGATTTAATGTAAATGGTGCACCAAAGGCCCCTAATATCTTTCGATTTGCACGAAATTTGGCACAGCGTAATGAATACGGTCTAGAATGATGTCTGCTAAGTTTCGTGAAAATCGGTTCAGATTTAGATATAGCTCCCATATATATTTTTGTCCGATTTAAGGTAAATGGTGTACCAAAGTCCCTATATATCTTTCGATTTGCACGAAATTTGGCACAGCGTAATGAATAAGGTCTAGAATGATGTCTGCTAGGTTTCGTGAAAATCGGTTCAGATTTAGATATAGCTCATATATATATATTCGTTCGATTTAATGTAAATGGTGCACCAAAGTCCCTATATATCTTTCGATTTGCACGAAATTTGGCACAGCTTAATGAATAAGGTCTAGAATGATGTCTGCTAAGTTTCGTGAAAATCGGTTCAAATTTAGATATAGCTCCCATATATATTTTCGTCCGATTTAAAGTAAATGGTGCACCAAAGGACCCTAATATCTTTCGGTTTGCACGAAATTTATCACAGCGTGATGAATTAGGTCTACAATGATGTGTGTTAAGTTTCCTGAAAATCGGTCCAGATTTAGATATAGATCCCATATATATTTTCCTCCGATTTAATATAAATGGTGTACCAAAGTCCCTTAATATCTATCGGTTTCCACGAAATTTGGCACAGCTTAATGAATTAGGTCCAAAATTATGTGTATTAAGTTTCCTGAAAATCGGTTCAGATTTAGATATAGCTTCTACATCTGACCAAATGAAAAATTTAGTATCGATTGCAGAATGACATGTTTATTGATCCAATTTCATTTTACTGGCCGTTCCGGCCGCGTCCGACTTTAAAAAATGCGTTAGTCGGCCCCGTCCGACTTTACTACTTTCCTTACTGATTAAAGATTTTTAGGCGTGGATTTTAAAAATAATGTTTATAGGCGAATATTTTAAAAGAATATTTTTAGTCGTGGATTTTTAAAAGAATATTTTTAGAAAATTTCGAGGAGATTTTATTAGTAATATTCAATGGAGTTATTTTTTTTTTAGGTTTGTCGCCTAAGTCTTTTGTTATTTGGCTAAATTAAAAAGAGGAATATTTGTTACTCATTTGTGAAATTGCCTTTAATTAATTACATAATATATTTAAATAATAATTAGTTATAAATAGTAACAATATTCCTCACTGGCTCCCTTGCTGGTCAATTAGGGTGTGAAATATTTTTAAGTTTATTAAGCGAATGCAATCGAGCAATCATTCAGGTCAATTTTATTGATTTAAAAAATTAACAAAATCACAAAAATAAGATTAACTGAAATCAAATACTACGTAAGATGTGTTAAAAAAAGAGATTTCATAGCAATATTTATATACATAAAAAACAACAACAAATAAATAAAACATAAAATAAGTAATGTGTAAATACGGATCTATATAAACCGCTATTTCACAATTCCAGTAAATAAATTTACGAAAAAAATTCTTCATCAAAATCGAAATTGAAGCCTTAAAAAATTCTTGTGAGTTGGGCCAGATAATTTAGAAAAAGTAATTTTTCAACAACACTTTAATTTTTAAAAAATATATTTTTTCAATTAGCCAATACAAATTTCCACTAGGCCTTTACATAGAAATTTAAAAAATTATGCCATTGCCCAATCAAAGTCAATAACACAAATACACAATATTTAAATTCAATTTTCTGTAAACTAAGCCAAGCATTAAAGACATTGATTAGTTTTTATTTTTTTACTTTTTTCGAACATGTAACCTACCTACTTGGCACAGCCAACTAACTACCTGGCAAGTGCTATCAACCAACAAGGTGACAAATATTTTCTTCTTCCTAATAAAAACAAAAGCAAAAAAATAATAATTTTTGTTTAAAGAAATCTTATTGACCATAATATCACGTAAGCCTAAAGGCATTGATTGATCCCAAATACAGATAGACAGCCAGGCAGGCAGTCAAGTCAACGATATCCACAAAGACAAATAATCACTCAAGTTTGATTTTTGGGTGAGGAAAAAAAGAGAAACAAAAACACACTCTCCACTCATTTCTTTTGGAGGGCAAGGGGGGGAGCTTTCAGCTAAGGCAAATAAACCAAGAGCCAATCAACCAAACCCCATGCAACCGAAAAACAACACCCAAATGCAAAAACAAAAACAAAAACCAAAGCCAAACACACAAAAAACCCCCCAAAAACAAAAACTACTCAAATTCCAAGCATGTCTCACAGCTCAACATTGACTTTGAGCTTTGGTGGTTCGTATATAAAGTGGGGAGGCATAAAAACTTTTGTGTCATTTCATAAATTACGGTCGTACCATCAAGAATACGAAGAAGACGCGTTCGTGGTGAATACGAAAAAACGAAAGTGTTGTGTTTATTTACAAATTAATACAAGAAACCAAACCAAACCAAAAAAAATTAACAAAATGAAAGCCTTTGTTGTGGCCGGTATCTGCTTGTTCAGTGTATTGAGTGTCGGTTTGGCACAATTCTCGAACGGACGCGTTTTGGATCCACCCAATCCACAATTGTGCGCCCAACGTGTTATTCATGAAAAGACACCCGATGGCAAAGGGTGAGTTGATATTGACTTTTTTGAAGATTTGAAAAAAAAAACACATAAAAGAAAGAAGTATTGATAAATATTATGAAATAATAAAAAATATTGAAATACCAAAAAAAAAAAAATACTTGAAAATATGAAATAATTAAATCATAAATTAAATGAATATAGTGCAGTTATTGGATTTTTTTAAAAAATTCGAAATAATTGAAAAAGGAGACTATTCTGGAAATATTGAAAATAATTAATTATAAAGTGCAAATGGGAGAATTGAAGGGATATGTATATTCAGCAAATAAAATAAAAATGGAAGCAAACAAAAAAAAACTATTTCCAATTTAAAAATAAAAATTTTAGATATTATTTCTTAATCAATTACAATTCGAAAAAATATAATAAATATTAAATGACCCAAACAAAATACAAAACGATTATTGCCCCAAGACAATACATATTTTTAATTTCAGGATTTTTTTTTTTTAATAAAAAGAATACATTTATTAAATTTTCGATTATTTTTACTGTGATTTCTCAATTCACAATTATTTTTTTAATATTTTAAAAAAAACTTATTTGTAACAAATAGCTATTTCTCCAATTGTTTCAATATTTTATTTATCAAAATCGCAATTTTTTTAAATCAATTTTTTTTTAAATATTTTTTTAAAAACTCACGTTTTTTCCACAAGATTATATTTATTAAACTTAATACTTTTTCCAAAATAACAAATTCTATTATTTCTTGATACTGTTCCAATCCAAATTCAATAGAAAGAAACTTCAGTGAAATCCAAAAGACTTTTTTACTTATATTCTAGATAATAAATAATTTTTTTTAATCCGAATTTTGTTCAGTAAAAAAATATTTTTGTTAATTCTGAATTTCCCCACATTTGATTTTTTGTAAAAAATAAGTAATATTTTTTTCACAATATTCGTTTCCCCCCCAAAGGAAATATTTTATTAATTTTACGATATTTTCTAAAAATAAATTTTCTCATTCGAAATATATTTGACTAAAAATTAAATCCAAATATTTTCCGAAAAATAATTATTAATTCTTAATTCATTAATAATATTCACAATCTTTTCAACAAAAAAAAATATTTTACATTACATTCACTAAAATTTGCAATGTTGATTTTGATATTTTCCACACAAAATTATTATTTTTTTCAAGTTAAATTCCTCATTTATAAGAACATTTTTTAATAATATTCACATTTTTTCAACAAAAAATATTTTACATTATTTTACAAGTATATATTTTTATAATTTAATTTCAATATTTTTAATATAATTCACGATTGTTCAAACAAAAATGACTATTTCGTGATTTTGTCTCTAAAAAATATGGTATGGCTTTTAAATGTATTTATTAATTATTGCAAAAAAAGTATTTTTTAAATGCCATAAATCCTTAATTAGTAAATAAATTATTGCATCCGAGTTTGTTTATTAAGTCTTTTTTTTCTTTCATTGTCTCTCTCCCATGATGGTGTTTACTTTTCTCTGACTTCCTTTGTCTCTCTCTCTCTCTTTCTCTCACTCTTGTATTAATTTCATGTTTGTTGTTTAAGTCTTTTATCCCAAAAAACAAATTTCTAGAATGTATTTTATCCTCCTCTGACTGTCTACTCCCACCGTCTCTATTTGATATGAATAAATATTTGCAGTAATAAAGGTCTCTTAATGACATTTTAATAGTCACTATTTCATTTACCAGGTTCTGTGAACAGGGGCATCAAACCACTCTCCCATCTCTTTTCTCTCAGCTCACAGATGGTAAACAAACGCTATTTTCAAGTTTGTGTCTTAAGTCTATTCTAACATGACAACTCTTGATTGTCCGTAAGACCGTTGTTTTGCCTTTCTCTAACACATACACCCTCTCTCTCTCTCTCTCTTTGTGTGAGATAAAGGGATGCATCTAACTGCATTTCAAGTTTGTTTCTTAAGTCTTTCATGTTTATTAATGGAATTTGAATGGATTTTCTTTAAAAATGGAATATTTATTTAATAAAAAATAATAGTAATAAAAATTAGAAAAAATATTTAAAAATATGAGAAAAAATATTGAATTTAAATTAAAAAATAATATTTATTCCATCAAATATTAATAATCATAAAAATAAAAAATCATAAAAAATGTAAAAATAAAAAGCAAAATTTATTTGATAAAATTAAAAAAATGAAAAAATTATGTAAAATATAGAAATAAAAATAAATTAAAAAAATAAGAATTATAAAAATAAATATTGAATGCAAAATTAAAAAATTAAATTTATTTATAAAGAATTTGATAAAAAATATAAATATAAAAATTGAAAAAAGATGTAAAATATAAAAATGCAAACATATTATCTTTCGCCTTTAATGGCATAAAACATAAAAATTTAATAATTTTTTTTTTAATAAGAATATTTAAAATATAAAAATAAAAAATATTGAAATAATAAAAAAACTCTAGAAATATTTTATATATTATATTATTTATAATATTTTCTTGTCTTGTTTACAGTTATTTCTTCTCGTGGCGTGACCCTGCATTGAAGGGTGTTGAAGAAGATTGGTTGAGTGCCAGAAACTACTGCCGCAGACGTTGCATGGACTCCGTTTCCTTGGAAACTAGCTTGGAAAACGAATGGATCAAGCAACGTGTTGTCAATGAAAATGTAAGTTGAGAATTTCATAATTAAAAAAGTATATTTACTCACGTGCTATATTAGGAAAAAATACAAATCATCAATTTAGATGAAAATAATTTTTCTAATAGGAAATTTAAGTTATTATTTAAGTTTACAAGATCAGAGGCCCAATAGTAATGTTATATATTTTCAATCGAAAAATCTAGAATTTGTTTTATTTTCTCAATGACCTCAATTTTGCAATTACACCACAATTAACATATTTGCCAATCTCTTTTCTGGTACCCTCCCTATTAATTGTTTGCAAAAATTGCTCGATTTTTATGGGCCAGCATGTCCTGAATATTGAATGAAAAAAACCTCTCTATTTCAATTTAACGCCCAATTGATGATGTAATCTAATTAAGATATAAAATTCACGTTCTGTCCTCAAAACAAACAAATTTATTGAGTAATTAAATATAGCCCCAAAAACGTACGTCCTTCCATAATAAAAATTCAAACAATAACAAAAAAAAAAAAATTAAAATAACAATAGCTAATGAAATTTTGCACCCCACCAAAAAAAAATAAATAAAAATCTAATATGCGTAGCACACACAAACCGATACACACACGGGCAGAGTTTTGCTTCATTTTGTACGCATTTGAACACTTTCGATTTCAATAGAAAACATGTTTTGCGTACCAAAAATTACCAACACTCGGTCAAAGTGGTCAACAATGAAATATGGAGTTAATGATGCCGACAATAGTCTCATCGATGAAGATGTTAGTAACAAAAGCTACACCAGCCAGACAGTCAGCCAGCCAGCCTCACCATTAGCCAGTAACAGTAGCAAAACGGTGCGGCATTACAAAATGATGTTTAACTGAAATTTGTTTTGTTTTTATTTTCTGAAACTTTTTTTCGCAATGAAAAAAAAAACTAAATGTTTCTTTCTTCATGAAAACCAAAACAAAAACCTTGCGCACATGATGTACATAAAATGACTCAATGCAAAAAAACAGAAAACTTGGTAACTAAATAAAAAATATTACATAACAAAGCGAGCCTGATCGTTGTTTACCTGTTTGCTGGATAGCCTGTGCGGTTGTCTGACAATCCTCTGGCTTCAAAGATAAAACATATGTACATACGTATATTCATACAACCTAGTCAGGCTTACATTGAACTTTATTTTCGTTAAAATCGTTGGCTAAAAGGCTGAAGGTAAAAAAATTAAATGTCTCCCTCCCCCCCAAAAAATGACTGGAAAGACACCGGTTTTTGGTCTAAGATGAGAAAAAAACTCCAAAATGTACATTAGCCATGGGAATACTGTAGGAGACAGCAACAATAAAAAAATATCATCATAAAATAGACATCTTACAAAGCTTTACATATTTCCTATAGGAAGTGAAATGATGCTGCAGACAATTTTTTGTTTGTTTTTGTTTTTTACAATGTTGTAAATGTCAAATAGAAAGTTGTTATTATAACTATTGGATGGCATTCAAATTTTTATGATTCATTCATTAATGTCATTATTGTATTAAAAAAATATTTAAATATTTTTCCAAACATCCATTGATTCTAACTAAAAATAATATTTTTCCAATTATCCATTATAAGAGTAGATATAAAATATATATATTTTTTCTAAACATCCACCATAAAAAGGAATTTGTTCTTTGCTAATATTTTCATTTCTGTCGCAGTATGTGTCTCTAAAATATTTCATTTTTAATTTAAAATATCAAAATTATTTAAATCGCTTAAATTTATTACATTTTGTGCTGCTTATTTGTTTCCATTGAAAATGAATTTTCTTTCCAATTCATTATTTTCAATAGAAAAGGGATAAACTACTGTGATTCTCTGATTTTCATACATTTTTATTATCTTCTTTTTTACCCCCTATGTCTTTTCTTTATATATTTATTTTCCTATTTTTTTAATTTCGTCTATCGAAAACATTAAAATCCTATTTGCAAAATCCTTCTCTCATTTATGGTTATGATTCTTCTCTCTTTGATTCAATTAAAAAATTTTAAACAGTTTGGCTCTTGGATGCTCTCTAGAACAAGCGAAGCAACCGTTTACACTCTCCCTTCCCTCCTCTCTCTCTTTCCTTCATTTAATAGTTTTTATTTATTTGATTAGAATCCGTTATCTTTAAAAAGTGCATATTACATTTCAAGTATGTGCCTTAAGTCTTTTTATTTATTATTTCTTTTAATTATTCCTACAGTGAGAGGTATAATCTCTCTTTCTCTCTTTTTGTTATTATTTTCTATGTTGTTTTAATTTGCTTGGGGTCTGTTATCTCTTTCTAACGGCAAAAGCTGTTTAACTCATGTACGTGTCTTAAGTCTTTCTATTAGTTTTGCCATTTCAATAGTATTCTCTCTTGAATGGAATCCGTTACATCTTTCTCTGAATGAGATTCTTATAAGAAAACATGGAAATGTAAACAATAACAAATTACTTCCGTTAGAATCTTGCTCTCTCACTCTCTTTGTTGTGGGTGGTTGGTTGTTTGAGTTGATTTAACGTATGTGCCTTAAGTCTTTGGATTTTTTTCTTTATAAGAAGGCCATTATTGGTTTTTGTAAGTAAATTGTAATGGAAATATTTAGGTGGCATAATTATACTAATTTTCATTGAGAAATATTATTTATAATAATAGAGAAAATAATGTTTACATTTCAAAAAATATTGTAGGGAAAGAAAAAAAAATTAAATTAAAACAAATTAATACTTCTCTCTCCTCCATAATAGAAATTAAAACGGAACTAATTTTAATTAAATGATTTATTTGTGATTTTTTCTCTTTCCTCTCTTTGAGAAATACTATTTACATCAAAGAGTAAATAATTGGGAAGTACATTTACATTAAAAAAATAGTATTTTAAGGAACCAATTAATTTATTTCAATGCCTATTTGTTAATTTATTAGCAAATTTGTTTACAACTTATTATTGTTTCCGAACAATTTCCTCTTCATATTTGTAACATGTTGCAAGCTTTTTACCTATTTTTGCATGCAATTTAAAACGGAAATGCATAAGCCCAAAGAGCCTGCATGCAACTCATTAAACCAAACTATTTTTGGTTATTAATTAAAATAAAATAAATTAAATCAAATAAACAGTTAAACAACAAATGCCTTTGCAGATCACACTTCAAATGATTGATTATTATATTTAAAAAAAAAAAATCAAAATAAAAAAATCCTAACAGCATATAATCGTGAAAAAAACATTAATTTATAAGTCACGCTATATTTCCCAAACATAGCCAAAGAAAATTATGTGTAAATATGTAAGACCATAATTAAATTAATTTATACAAACAAACAAAATTATGAACAACAGCAAAGTTTGCCGGCATATCCATATGTGACATAATCCATAACACGTTACATTTCATTTGAATTTTGTTGTTTGAAACATATGACGAAGTCTTCAAATTGTCGTGTGTCAAAAAAACATTTGGGTTGATGAATTATTAATATGTATGTCACCGACATCATCATCTTCTTCTGCCTGTCTGTCTACCTGCATGCAAATATGCAAATTTCTTCTTTCTGTATACATTGTTAACAACATTAACAGTTATATATATAGTTCAGGTTGGATTTTTAACGACATTTTAATTGTGAAAATAAACATTTCAAGTGGAGATTTTGTAAGCTAAATTAAAAAAAAAAAAAATTTGAAAAGAATTTAAAATGAAATAAAAATAGTTCAAGGTTAGGTTAATCATATAAATTTTTATAATGACTTATTTAGAAAAGTAAATTAATTAATTTTAGTTTTTAAATAATAAATTGCATTTTTTGTAAATTTCTCATTTTTTCCCAAGAAAAATTAGCTTATAAAAATATCAAAAAAAACATATATTTTTCTTCCTCCAACATTGTTTGACTTTTCACCTACCACTGCCTTGGCACGATCAAAACAGTTTGTTTCTTTGTATTTTTTGTTTTTAATTTTAGTGAAACTATTAGCCATTAGCCTTAATTAAGTGACACCTACAATGAACTTCAAACCCATGAGGTTTTTTAATGCCCCACCATAAAAGGGCCTGACCTACAACTATTTTGAATATTTAAATAAAAAAATAAAAAACGTCTATAAAAAGTGCTACTACTTAAAAATTATTCAACAAAAACTTCATGAAAAAAATAAAAAAAATATTTGTGGGACAGCCAGCTGTAAGAAAATTTCCATTGGATATTACAACAACACGGTATTTTTTGTCTGTAGGAGAAAGTATTTGTTAATGTAAAATATCACATTATTATAGACTACACCAACAACAACAACGACGACATAATAAAGGTGGGGTTTAACGTTAAATGCATTTCAAAAAAAAACAACGTTTAAATAAGAAAACAACACCCCAAAAAATGACTGAGCATTTTTTTGTCAGTTATTTACCTGGCCCCAAACAGAAAGTGTTGACAATTTATGGTATTTTTGTAAGAGCACGATTTTATTTTTTTCTCGTTTTTTTTTTCTTTTGTGTGGCTAACAATGAGGGCCATTTTATGCCACCATTTGGCTAACAATAGTTTCCGTTTTCGTAGTTTCTTTAACAATTTCCCTAACAAAACAAATCACTGGCACGTAATGTACATTAATAATGTTTTGTTGTTGTTGTAATAATAATATTTACATTTTTTCTTTAAAACTTTAATTTTTTCCATAACTGTAACTAAAAGAAATTTTGAAAAAAATATGAAAATTTATGCCGGTACCAATTGGTGTCAATGCATCATTTTCTTTTCCATTGCATTTCAAATATACACAAATATGTCTAGCAAAATAAAGCATATTGACAAAAAAAAGTTTTTGAAAAATATTGTGTAAAAGAAATGCAGTGAAACGGTTAATGACTTTATATTATACGCTTCTTTAACTAAACAAAACAGAAAACGTTAAATAGTTGTAATCACATTTTCTTTGCAACACCACCACCGGGGTGAGATAATTTTTTTTTTCTGCCATGATAATTAAATGAGGCATGACATTTTGTATGTTATATAATTTTTTTCGGTAAATTTTCCATTTGAAATTACGACATTTTTGAAATCAAGTGAGAAATGCGTTAATTTTTTTCCTCAATTCGTAAATTTTTTTATTGGTTATGGAATTTTACAAATTTTCCAAGTTTGTATTTAAATTTGTTTTTAGTCTTCAAATAAAACTGATTTTTTCTGTATCTCTTATTCTCTATAAAATATATGAATTTTTAATTCAAGTTTGTGCCTTAAGTCTTTTGCTTCCAATCAAGCTCTATCTTTGATAAATTACTGCAATTAAGCTCTTATTTCTATTTTCCTCTCCTCCAAAAAATTCAATCACTATAGTATGAAGTATGTGTCTTGAGTCTTTTGCTGTAGTTTTTTAAACATTTTTTTAATCATGCCCACTTTATTTAATAAAATTCTCTCTTTATCTCTTCCTCTTTGTAAATCATAAAAAGTAAGTCACGTGTATTAAGTCTTTTGTTCTCTCTCTCTCTCTCTTGTAAAGCGCTGCAATTTTTCTTTTATTTTATATCTCCTCTCTTTGTCTCTTTCTCAGCTTTACTAAATTCCATTATTATCAATTTTCCCCTTGGAGTATGTGTCTAAAGTCTTTCTTTTGATTAATTTACACTCTTTTTCTCATTTCCTCTTTGTTGTAATAAATTATCTCTGTATCTCTCATTCTCTTTATAAATCATGGAAATGTAATAAAAGTTTGTGTCTTAAGTCTTTTAGTGTCTATATCTATATGCTGTGCCAAACATAGAATAATGATCTCTCAGCAGTCTCACACACTTACTCTTAATTAACTCTCCTCTGATATTTACGATAGCGGTGATTGCCAAACACGTTTTCTCTTTGTCTCTCTTTGCGTCAGTCATTTTTGTTGATGATCTCTCTGTTAGCGTGGTTTTATAACACTAATGCACAAAATAGTACGATAGCGGTGATGGCTAAATGTGTATTCTCCGTTCTCCGTCACAAGGCTTGTTATATGTAATTCTGTGTTGTATGTCAGCAGTTCCTTTCAACTCTCTCTCTTACCGCTAACCGCTCACTCAATTACTCTGTCTCAAAAGAGCAGGTCACGTTTGTGTCTTAAGTCTATTGTCTGTATTACTCCCTTCCACCATGCTTCGATATTTTTCTGTGTTGTATTTTCTCTCTTTGTCTCCCAGTTTCAATCTCTCCGCAAAAGTCTTCCTTAAGATTTAAAATTTGAAGTGTGTGTCTTAAGTCTTTTATGTATATTCTATTTATTTTGCTTGGATCTATTTCTCTCTCTCTCTCTTTTGTAAATAATTTTTTTCTAACTGAAACAAAAAACTTATTCTCCATTTCTTTTTCTTCTTCCAGGTAAAATACATCTGGACCTCTGGCCGTCTCTGTGACTTCAAGGGCTGTGAACGTCCCGATTTGCAACCCACCAACATCAACGGCTGGTTCTGGACTGCTACTTTGCAAAAATTGGCTCCCACCAACGAACGCAGCCAAGGTGATTGGTCTCCCAGCGGTGGTATTGGCCTTCCCCAACCCGATAACCGTGAATACAAACAAAACGGTGCTCCCGAAAACTGTTTGGCTCTCTTGAATCAATTCTACAATGATGGTGTTAACTGGCACGATGTTGCTTGCCACCACAAGAAACCATTCGTGTGTGAAGAAAACGATGCCTTGTTGAAATATGTCCGTTATACCAACCCACAATTGCGCATTTAAGGAGTGTAGGAGGAGATGCAAGAAAATAAAAAAAAAAATCCCCACCCCCACTTTTAGAAACCAAAAATATTTAAGAAAACACAAAAATGTTGCTGAATTTTTTTATACGCTCTCTCTTTTATATTTTCTAAATTATTATTTTCTTTTTGTATAACCCATGCATTTTTTATATTGAAATTCTTTTTCTTCACTATCGTAGTTATTTGTTTTCTCTTTGTTGAGCCAAATTCTATATTTGAGTTCTTGTTTTGTACTATCCACTTCTCTTCTCTTTCATTTTGTTTAGTTTAATTTTAATTTTTTTTGTATTAATTTATGTTAAATAAATAAAAAATAAAAAAAAAACAAAAGAAAAAATACTAAAAACTTAAAAAATAGGTGTTTTTATTTATTTCTTTACTCATTTTATGAAATTCTGCATTATTTATGTTTGAAATTCTGTCACATTCCATTGTGTAATGTTATTCATTGTGATTTGCATTTATTTTATTGGAAACTGGCAACACTAATAATAGTATTTGAAAGTCCTATTAAAAAGGGAGAATTGCAATGGAAAGGTCACATTCCATTGCCATTGTGAATGGTGAGCATGTTATTCATTGTGAATTGCATTTATTTAAATATGTTGGCAAATCGAAAGTTACCAAATGGCAACACTAATAACTAACAGTATTTTGTGAAAGGCCTATTAAAAAGGCCTCATCAACGAAGATCAACTGATTCTCATATTTGATGCAGGATCCATTAGTAATGTCATCCAGCAAGCGAAAGTCAGCTGTTTTTTCTAATGTAATGTTTTCACAATGAAAGTCAATTCACAATAATGGATTTTGACAGCAAACTCGAGAAGCTGATTTCCAGCTGGTCAACCAGAATGGCCTTATTAATAAGCCTTAATTTGCATATAAATCAATTATTGTGAATTGATTTTACATTATGAAAAGTACCAAGGCCTAAAAATAAAATCATCACCAGGATATTAACTGTCACTCTAGTTAGCTGTCAAAATTAATTGTTGTGAATTGACTTCCCTTATGAAAACGTAAACAAACTTCAATTTTTTGACTTAGACTTAAGAAAAAAACAGCTGTTATTCGATTTCGATTGCCACCTGGGTGACCTTATTAATTGATCTTGAAAGTTACATTATGGGTTAACGTGTAATTAAAATATCAACCAGCAAGAGAAAGCCAGCTGGCTTTTATACCCTCAGCCTTATGGCCAATGAGGGTATATATACCCTTTGATACGGCAAAAATGTGCCTTATCGAAATATTGGTTTTAGACCCCATGTATCTTTGATCAACAACCATCTGAGACAATTTGGAATCCATCCGTCTGTCTGGCAGGTTGGTGCGCACGATAACTCTCGACGGGAATGACCGATTTCATCTAAACTTTGTAAATCGTAATATTTCTTCCAAACATAGTTTAAGTTCGAAGAACATCGTTCCACGTCTTCAGGTACTTCACCCACAAAATGGTCAAAAGAGTGCCAAAATTAACATTTATAATATCATGAGAACGGACTATCCGATGTGAATCAAACGTTGTAAAACCTATTATCTGTACCAAACATATATGATGTCCGAAGATGGGACCAAGTGGTCTACACATTCTTTTACCTCAATATTTATAAATCCAATATCAGGCGAATGAATTACGCGATTTGAACCAAACTTTGTAAAAGCTAATTTCTTTACCAAGCCTAGATAAAGTCCGAAAATGTGATCCAATGGTCCACTCTTCCTGGTAATTCCCCTACAAATGGTGAAAATTTCAATATTTTTAAATCATTTATCAGGCGAAAAACAATGACCGATTTGAACCAAACTTCAAAAAAGCCTACTATCTTTACTAAGTCTAGATCAAGTCCGAAAATGGGATCCACTCTTTCCGGTAACTCCCCACAAATGATCAACATTTTCAATAATTATAAATTCGTTATCAGGCGAAAAGAAAAACCGTTTGAACCAATGTTAAAAAAAAAAACTATTACCTTTATCAATCCTAGATGCAATTTCGCAACAATAGACACATAAATACAACTTATCAAGTAAAGACAAATGGTAACACATTTCCCAATATTTATAAATTTAAATATTAGGCGAAAAGAATGACCGATTAGAACCAAACTTTAAAAAACCCTTTTATCTTTACTAAGCCTAGATCAAGTTCGAAGTTGGGAACTGTCGATCCTCTCCTTCTGGTAACTCCTCACAAATGGTCAAAATGTTCAATATTTATAAATCCAATATCAAGTGAATGGAATGTCCGATTTGAATCAAAGTTTATCTTTACCAAGCCTAGGTCAAGTGAAAAGATGGGATATATCGGCCCACTCCTTCTGGTACCTCTCCCATAAAAGTCAATATTTTATGAACTTGTAAATTTAATTGGAAACGAATTGAATAATCGATCAAAATTTAAATCGAAACCTCAGTGATAAAAAACATAATTCTGAAGACCTCCGCAAATCATAGACAGAGGGCGAGATATATTAATAACGTCACCCAGCTAGCGAATGTCAGCTGTTCTTTGTCAAATCTAATGTCAAAAATTTGGACTTTGTTTCCGTTTATATATGGATGGATTTTGTCTCCAAACTTGAGAAGCAGCTGATATCCAGCTGGACTCCCTAGATGACTTTATTTATAGGCCTTGTATATATCTGTCGGTAACACCAACTAACACTTCTTTATTTGTTCGCCAATCCATGTTCTTTAAAAAAGATTTCCAAGCGCGTCAGTCTTGCGCGCATCTCCTCTAATTTGAAAAACCATGTTCCGAGATGTTGCCTTCTACTTGGTCTAAATCGTGGCCTTCGCCTTCTGCCTGAACCATCATGGGGCATTCTCATTCATTCGCACAACATGGCTTAGCCACAGTAGTCGCTGCAGCTCGATACGACTAGATTGTAAAGCTCGTGGTTCATTCGACACCGATCATGGCACATTTCATTTCATTCTCATTATTATTGTGATTTATGTATTGTGATTGAATTGCTTATCTAAATTAATGGATGGCAACACTTTATAGCACTGAACATACCCAACGAATAATTTTTGTTTACATTTTAGTTGGTCGTTTGTATTGCACAGCTGTTTGTAATGTGGAACGTTTTTATAATCGTTTGTGTGTTTCGGAAAAGCCGCTAGTAGTATCAACAACGTTGTTTTGGATAATTTAGATTAGAAGCAGAGAAGAAAACATTTTACCTAAATCATGGATATTGGAGAACTATTATCCTTTAAGGTGAGTATGGAATACATAGCAATGAAGTTACACACAATATGACATGAAGGAAATTGAATTACAATGTCCTCCATGGAATATTGTGGAACATTCTTTGATTGTGATCAAAATTAATTAAATTAACTAAAAATTCCAGCCTGAGGCTACCCCTAAACGTTCGCACGACGACGATGAAGACTATTCCCCCGAAAAACCCACTCGGCAAGAGGAAAAGAACAGTAAACGTTTGAAACGTATTGCCCAAGCCAAGGAGGCAGCTGAATTTGCAAAACCGGAAGATCCTCCCATACCACAATTGTCCGGCGTTGCTGCAGCCTTACTGGATCCGGAACTAACAAATGAGGAACGTTTGAATATTCTAAAATATGTTGAAAGTGAGGAGGCTGAGGGTGATGTTTTAGATGAGCAAGGGCTTAAGAAATTACTGCTCGTATTCGAAAAGAAAAATCTGAAGAATCAAGAGCTGCGCATTAAATATTCTGATAACCCTATCAAATTTATGGACTCAGAAGTGGAACTGCATTCCGTGATACAAGAATTGAAGGCAGTGGCAACGGTACCCGATTTATATCCTGTTTTGGTAGAACTAAATGGTATACCAAGTCTTTTGGAGTTGCTAAACCATCCCAATACAGATATTGCAGTGGCTATTGTGGATCTGCTGCAGGAGGTTACCGATGTTGATATATTGGGTAAGTATTCAATTTCCCTTTCTTCTTTGAATAAAATATTTAAAATTTTTTTACTATTTTAGGCGAAAGTAGTGATGGTGCCGAAGTCCTGATTGAAGCGCTACGCAAACAACAAGTCATTGCCTTGTTGGTGCAAAACTTAGAACGTCTTAATGAACAAATCAAAGAAGAAGCAGATGGTGTCCACAACACCTTATCGATTGTGGAAAATCTTACCGAAATGAATAATGACATTGTGGCCGAGGCAGCCCAACAAGGCCTTTTGGCATGGATATTGAAACGGCTAAAACAAAAACCCCCTTACGATGCCAATAAATTGTATTGCAGTGAAATTCTCTCCATACTCATTCAAACAAATTATGATAACAAATTAATGTTGGGTGAATTGGAGGGAATTGATATCCTTCTACAACAATTGGCTTTCTACAAAAAACATGATCCCTCCAGCACTGAAGAACAAGAATATATGGAAAATTTATTTAATTGTATGTGTTCCGCATTGATGGCCAAAGAAAATCGTGAAAAGTTCCTTAAGGGAGAAGGTCTGCAATTGATGAATCTTATGCTCAGAGAAAAGAAAATGTCACGAAATGGTTCGTTGAAAGTCCTCGATCATGCTATGTCCGGGCCAGATGGTCGTGATAATTGTAATAAATTTGTGGACATTTTGGGTCTGCGGACTATATTTCCTTTGTTTATGAAAACTCCGAAGAAAAGTAAACGTCTTTTGTCGGCTGATGCCCATGAGGAACATGTTTGTGCTGTCATTGCCTCAATGTTGAGAAATTGTAAGGGTGCCCAAAGGCAGAGACTGCTGTCGAAATTTACGGAAAATGATCATGAAAAAGTGGATCGCTTGCTGGAGCTACATTTGAAATATTTGGAAAAGGTGGAGGCGGTCGACAGGGAAATTGATCAGCAACCAAGGGTAAGTTATGAAATATTTCGACATTTTACATTATTTCATTTATTTTTTAATTTCTAAAATTTTTAATTAAGTTTTTAATTTAAATTTTTTTTGTTAAATTCAAAATTTTAATTTTTGTTCTTTTCATGTTAAGGACGAAGACCTCGATGAAACCGAAGAAGCTGAACAAAATTACCTCAAACGACTAACTGGCGGTCTATTTACCTTACAAATGATCGATTATATTATTTTGGAGATTAGTGCCACCTCCGAGTCCATAAAATCACGTGTATTACAAATATTAAATTTGCGTGGTGCTTCTATGAAAACGATACGCAGTGTTATGAGAGGTATGGAAATTTTTAAAACTATTTTAAAATTAGAAGTTATTAAATATTTTTTTATTTTTCTAGAATATGCCGGCAATTTGGGCGATGACGGCGATGCTGATTGGAAGGAACAGGAAGAAAGTCATATATTATCATTGGTCGATCGGTTCTAAATTAGCTTTATTAATAATAAAAAATATAGTTTTTTATTAAATACAACAAAAAATGTTTTTTTTAAGCAATTATCGAAGAGTGGTTTAAAAAGTATTTTTTTTTTTTTGACAAGCGTGGACTTTTAAAAGAACTTTTTTGATTAGCCAAAAAGTGGTAATTTTTTTCGAAATATTTTTCGAATAACCCAAACCTTTAAATACTTTTAAAAAGGAAATCGATTTTTAAAAAGATATATTTTTTAAGTAGCCAAAAAGGAATTGATTTTTTAAAAAATAAATTTTAAGTGGCCACTGGCCAGTAAGGCGTAGATTTTTTAAGGAATATTTTTCCATAGGCCTACCTGCAAGCCATCCAAGGCGTGCGCCCACTAGCGCACCTGCAGCAAAGTGCTGTTTTTTGGAGAGCGTGCAGAAGGCACACTCTCCCCCTTGGTGAGGCGTGGATTTTTTAAAGAATATTTTTTCAGGTGGCCACACCAAGGCGTGTAGGTTTTTAAAGTATATTTTTTCTACTCGCCAGCAATCCAAGTCGTGGATTTTTTAAAGAATATTTTTTCTAGTCGCCAGCAATCCAAGGCGTGGATTTTTTAAAGAATATTTTTTCTAGTCGCCAGCCATTCAAGGCGTGGATTTTTTAAAGAATATTTTTTCTAGTCGCCAGCCATCCAAGGCGTGGATTTTTTAAAGAATATTTTTTCTAGTCGCCAGCCATCCAAGGCGTGGTTTTTTTAAAGAATATTTTTTCTAGTCGCCAGCAATCCAAGGCGTGGATTTTTTTAAAGAACATTTTTTCTAGTCGCCAGCAATCCAAGGCGTGGATTTTGTTAAAGAATATTTTTTCTAGTCGCCAGCCATCCAAGGCGTGGATGAAGATATTTTTTTTTTAAAAGCCAGAATGTAGTGGATTTTTTAAATAGCCAGCAAGGCGTGGATGAAGTTATTTTTTTTTAAAAGCCAGAAAGTCGTGGATTTTTTAAATAGCCAGCAAGGGATGGATTTTTTAAAAAATATTTTTAAAGTATATTTTGGTTTCTCATTTTGGGCTTGTCTTGCTCCCGAATTTTTCAAGTAGTCAACATGTCGAGGATTTTCTATTTTTTTTTCAATTGAACAACAACGCATGGATTTTGTTATCACCCATCCAATGTGTAGTTTTTCGAAATCAAACACTATTTTTTTTATTTTCTAACAGATTGTTATTTTTTTTCAAAATTATTTTATTATTTGTTGTATTAATAATGAAACATATAATTAATTACACATTTAATTCCACATCATATTATTATCACATATAATTTTAATTGTGTTACAACAACAAAGAAGAAAAATAAAGTCCAATTCTAAACAATTGAATTAAATTTTGTTAAGCAATTTCAAAGAAAAAATATCAACAAAGAAAATCTTGAGGTGCAAGGTAACAAGAACATCTTGACCACGCACGTGGAACTGTGTTCTGCTTTGTAACATGAACAGCAGGTTTTTGATAAGAACTTTGTGTATGGTTCTTAAGCTTTTCTATAAAATACAAGAAGAAGAAGAAAAACATTAAATTTGTTATTAGTAATGATATTTGAAAAAAAAAACTGTGAAATGAAAACAGGTAGTAGTTGTTTTGGTTTTAAAGAGGTATTGGTTTCTTTGTATATATGAGTGTATTTGTTTAAAATAAGGCTTAAAATTAAGAAAAACAAAATTAAGAGAGATAGTAAGAAAAAAATAGAGAAAAAATGACATAGATATGTAAAAATGTAGCATAACAAAAATATTTATGTATTAACATTCCATGATGGAGACAATTTCATTGCAACAAATATTTATAAACAACTATGAAGAGATACAGAAGAAAAAAAAATAGTAAATATATATAATTAAAATAAATCAATGAAACTATAGATACACAACAACAAAGAAAAATAATTAGGTAAAAATCATGAATGGTATTGGTGGTGTTGGGGTTTTTTTGCAAAGAAAATAATGAGTTTCCAGATGTTAATTTTTTTTATCAACACATTACATATATTTACATTCAACATCAGTGCATTTGAAATATTACAATAAGAAAGTAGTGCTCGTATTTTTCGGTTTTTCATTCATCCAATAAAAGGACTTTTTTCTTTACTAACAATGATACCATAATTTGTATATAGGATGTTAGGATGTAGTAGCTTTTAAAGCCGTAATATCATTCATTGATTTATTTTTTTAAAGATGCATGTATGTAATACATTTTAAACATTCCATGGATACGATTTTTTGCCAATAATGCTGATGGTATTGGTTGATGGTTTAAAGGATCCAAATTTTGAAATCGATAATAATGATAAATGTTTTCTTTTTTTATTTATTGTTTATCTAATAGTTTCAGAATTAACTGAATAATTTTTTAAATTATTGTATAGAAGCATTCAATAACTAGCTATGGGGTAATGATTTAAGTTGGTAGTAGTGGTGGTAGTGTTGTAGTTGTTGTTGTTGGGTAAATCATCATTAGAAGAAAATATATCTCTACTTGACGCTGTCGGGAATTTCGAAGCTGACATCCATCTTAACTTCACGGGCCAATTCGACAATCTTGGCCAAGTGTACAGCCAAATTGGCAGCTTCATCCAAGTCGTGACGTGGAATAATTCTCAAGCCAGATTTCCTGATCAATTCACGAGCCTCATTTACATTGGTGCCCTGGTGAAAAAGAAAGGAAAGAAAAATTAATTAAATTTTAGTATAATATAATAAAAATATATTAAAAATTATATTTAAAAACACATTTCTTATTAGAATGTAATATTATTCAAGATTTTTTTTTAATAATTTTTCAAACAATTTTTATCATTATCTTTTCAAACTCACCTGCAATCTGCACACAATTGGCATTTTCATGTTCAGATCCTTGGCAGCGGCAATAATACCCTCAGCGATGACATCACAACGCATAATACCACCAAAGATGTTGACCAAAATGCACATCACCTTCGGGTCGGCAGTAATAATTTTGAAAGCTTCCTTGACAGCAGTAGCGGTAGCACCACCACCAACATCCAAGAAATTGGCTGGATCACCACCGTACAACTTAATGATGTCCATGGTGGCCATAGCCAAACCAGCACCGTTAACCATGCAGCCAATGGTACCGTCCAAGGTAATGTAATTCAAATCGTATTTGGCAGCCTCGACTTCACGGGGATCCTCTTGGGTCCAATCGCGCATGGCAAACAATTCCTTTTGACGGAACTCGCCGTTATCGTCGAAACGGAATTTGGCATCAAGGGCGAAGACTAAAGAGATGAGTTAGGGAATTTGTATAAAATTTATAAATATTATTGGAAATTAGAAGAGAACATTTTTGAAACTCAAAAAAGCAGCAGTGGTAAAGTAACTTCAAAAAAGCGTTTGCAATTTTTGATTGGTTTTTAATAAAACTACAATAACTAAAGGTGGATGTAAACAAAATATATAAAACTAAGAAAGGTGTATTGATTCCAAATGAAAGAAAGGAAGGGGGGATAACAATTAAATTTTAAAATTTTAGTCAGAGCTGTAGAGCGCTAATATATTTTTTCGTTGGCAAACGGGGCACTTTGGAAGTAACTTGAAGGTTGATGTCTAAAATCCCCTTTAAAATTTCGTCTGCACAGCTCTGACTGAAAGGTATTTAAAAAAACAGAATGGAACATAACATGAAAAATGCTATCCAAAAGTTTACAATTCAAGAGTTAAAAATCATATTTTTTAAAAATTAAAGAGTTTAACATCTTGTTTCTTTTTAATATTATAGATTTTGAATTTCTCATAGCACCTTTGAATTGTAAACTTTTATTAGCAAAGCTACAATGGTTATATTAACACGAAATACTAAATCAACTACTTACAGGCTGCGATATTTTGTGTGTATATTCATTGGAAAAGTTTTAAAAACACATTCACACACACACACACACACACATAGAGGGTATTTTGGTTGCAATGAAATAAAAATGTTAGGAAATTAACGAAATAATTATAATTAGTATTTTATTTCGTTAATAAAAAAGAAACGCGAGATGATCATTAAAGACACAAAGAAAATGGTCAAAATATGATAGTGAAAAATATTTAATCACATATATATGGATAAAAACATAATATGTTTTTAAATGGTCAACAAAATGTGGCAGTTTGATTTTTGTATTTATATCAAAAATTCCTCTAAGGGTTTTGGAAGAATTATTAAAATGCGAAATATTAAAATGTGATTTCATAAATGCCGAAATGGGTCTTCAAATAAATTCAAAATGCCATTGTCTCTAAATAATTTTGATGCATTTATGAAATCTTTTAAAGTGATTGCTTCAATATTTCTTTTTTTTTATATTCTAAAGACATCATTTAATTTTTTGCTTATATTATTGCTATATAAGTCTCTTGTATTTCTCATACTTACATCCTTGCATGGCATCTTCGGCATAGGGATTGATTTCAATCAACAGAGCATCCTTTTCCACAAATAATTTGTACATGTTTTGCAACATTTCAACGGTATCGTTGGCATGTTTATCCTCCAAACCAACCTTCTTGACAACCTTCAAGGCTTGTTCTTTGGTAAGACCCTTTTTAATATCGATGGGTTCATAGATAATGGCATCGGGATTTTCAGCAGCAACTTCTTCAATGTTAACACCACCTTGTGATGAGGCAATAACAACGGGGCCCTAAAACAGAAAAGAAGAGAAGAGGAGGATGAGTTTGTTTTCTATATCACACAAATGGGGTTTTATATTTTTAAAATTTGCGCTTTGAATTTTTTTTTTAGAAAATCGACAACTGAGAAAATATTTTTTTTTTATATTATATTATATTTTTTTTATTATTATTTATATTATATTATTTTTATATTATATTATTTATTTTTTTGAACATCCACGCCTTCAAAAAATATTTTTTTGAACATCCACACCTTGAAAAAATATTTTTTTTTTTTAAATCTACGCCTTCAAAAAATGTTTTTTTGAACATCCACACCTTGAAAAAATATTTTTTTTTAAATTCACGGCTTCAAAAATATATATTTTTTTAACATCCACACCTTGAAAAATATTTTTTTAAAAAATTCACACCTTGAAAAATATTTTTTAAAAAATTCACACTTTGAAAAATATTTTTTAAAAAATTCACCTCTTAAAATATTTTTTAAAAAAATCAACGCTTTCAATTTTTTTAATTTACGCCTTGAAAATGTTGTTTCGATCTGGCAACTCCTTCATATAGAAACAGGTATTCAAAAAAGACGTATCCAAAGCATTTCTAATTTTTCCATTGTAAAAAATTGCGGATGTGTCTTTTTTGAACACCTTTTTCTATATAAAAGAGTTGCTAGATCGAAACAAAATGTAACATGTGTTCATAACAGAGGTGGAAGTTTCCAAAACACTTAACTTTTTCTGTTTACGCCGCGATTTTTGTGCTACGCTAATAGAAAACCTTCTGGTGGTCTACTACATATGGAAGACCTTCTTCTATAGATATACAACCTTCAATAGATTTTATGTAAATAACAGGTTTCCTATATTTATAAAATACCTTTTGACGAACTTCTTTCAATCGAATTCATTCTGATGATCTTCTGTTGTTAGGAGATCTCTTAGAAAAAGTTATTTTGTAGAAAATCTTCTAACGGACTTGAAGTTCTATACTTTCTTGTGGTCTTCAAGAGTGAGAAATATTCGCAACATAAAAATCTCAATAAAAAATAAAGTTGATCTTCTATATAGAAGACTGTCCTTAAATGGTTTACGAAAACAGAAGGCATTCACTAGATCTCCCATTGACAGAAGACATTCTAGAAGTCTTCCCTCCCACACCAATAAAATACAATGGTTTAGCATACAACTTACATTGAATGCACGCTCCATCATGACAGCAAAATAGAATTCACGACGTGGAAATTTACGTTCGGCAACCATAACTTTTTTACAGATGCGACCAGCGGCACCAGTTTGTTTGGTTACCAACAACTGATTGATCATTTTGGAGGCAACCTCCTCGGCTTCTTTGGGACTAAAAGCAAAAAAAGAGAGAAAATTATTTTGATTGAAATAAAAAAATGATTAGAGAACTCACTCATTGACAACGCGTACGCCGCCCTTGAAACCATTCTTGAAGGCACCCTTGCCACGGCCACCGGCCAAGACTTGAGCCTTCAATACCAAATTGTTGGTGTTCAATTTTTGGGCAATTTCACGGGCCTCGGTGGAAGAGGTGGCAACACCGAATCTGAAAAGAAATAAAATAATTAGTTTTAATTATAAATTTTAAGAAAAAAATAATTTTAAGGAATAGTAAATTTAGAAAATGCTGCTATGACCTGGGTGGAGTCTATGGCCCATTTTCATGATAGGAATGTTGTGGCAAGATATATATGTTTCAACAGGCAGTCGGACATTAGGCTAGATCGACATAGAATTCTATTTGGATCAAAAAGACATTATAGAGTTTCCGACGGAAATTTCGAAAAAAAATGGAAACGAATCCCTCTAAATAATAACGAATAATTAATAATGCCCACTACAATTAAAACATATTCCAAAGAGCGATATAGGTATCTATATATAATTATTAATTATGCCACTTTGGAAATTGATAAAAATCCCCAAATGCGACAAATGCTGACTAATGATTAATGGGCCGAAAAAATAACAGGTACTTCTACATGAATATCAGCAGTTCTTTGTTTTTCATTCAAAATTCCAAAGGTTCAGATAAGATATGATTCGTATAAAAATAGCACAATATGACGTGTGCCTGCGTCTGACAAAAAAAAAATGTAAAATCTCTGATTATTTTAATCTCATAAAAAAGAGGGCTAAATATATAAACCATTAAGTGGTAATTGTTCAAGACCATCATAAAAAATAATCTGAAATCTGGAATCCAATTTAAAAATCCTCGCGTATAATTTCATAAATCATTTACTGTGATTATCTACCGTCATTCACATATGGCATGGCATAATGCGGCTGGCCATCCTACCCCCTCACTCTCTGGTTATCTTCTTCTTTACCATTTGTTTTTTTTTTTTTAATTGCCACCATGAATGTTTTTGCTGATAACAAAACAAAATAGTGGTCTTTTGCCTTTGCTCTCATATTTGTAATCATCAAAATAAAATAGAAACCTCAATAGTCAGTCACGACATCCACTGTAGACGTTTTTTATGTGAATGTTGTTTGTTTGATTTTTTTAATCGCATTGATCAAAGGTCAGTTTTGTCATTTCTTTGCCAGACTATTTCAATTTGTGTTTCTCTCTCAATTGCCATCTGATCATGGGTGATAGAAAATAAGAAAAAAAAAAACAAAGTTTCCGACCTTGTTTTTTTGTTTTTTGTTTAGGAAGTTGTCATTAAGCTCACCTACGACAATTTGTGGCGGATTTTCTTTATTGAATTCGATGCAAGTTCAATGCGATTTGTTTGGTTTGGTGGTAAGGGAAATACAACTTTCCAGACAAGGTATAAATTTAACCAATAAAGAAATTACCAAAGTCGGATGGGCAGATAATATTTGAATATCCGAAGCGATTTTTTTGGCAAATGCCTTCTAGATTCAAGTCAAATTCCGGTGGCAAATTTTCTCACAATCGATAAGACATATGTGCGTCATTTGCATAAAATTGAAGGAAAAAATAAATATGGAAGCGATATATAAATCTGTATAGGATTCGTCCTTGGGCAGAAAAACGAGCTGTGCCAAGTAGTTTTCGAACATTATATATTAATTTTTATTTTAATTTTTGACAATTTCGTTTGGTAGGTACCAAAGGAATGGACCCATATTTTCTATCTTCGAACTAGATTAACGTTTGGAAGGAATGGGAATCAAATCGGTTGCTACCTTCAACCGTATCGAATGCCCTGGATAGATCTGATCGCTGATCGAGACCATAGACAATCTTGGAAGTATTTTCTTGCAAAGTCATTGTTGTGCTGTATAAGGTTAACCCTACATTTTCGGTATTTTAGGGTTCTTGAGTGCGTTTTTCAACCGAATTCGTGGAAAATTGGTACATTGGATTTTTATTGGGTACAAAATTTCTCCGTTAAAAATTATAAATATAGGTCCACTTTCTCTGGTAGCCCCCATATAACAGTATCCCCCAATTTTCGGGATTTTGAGGTTTTTGAGTGCATTTTTTAACCGAATTCGCTGAAATTAGATTCATTGGGTTCTTATTACGTACCAAATTTCTCCGCTAAAAATTATAAATATCGGTCAACTTTTTCTGGTATCCTCCATATAACAGGGCCGCCTAATTTTCGGCAATTTGGGGTTCTTGAGAGCATTTTTCAACTGAACATTTTCATCTGAAAATTGGTACATTATGTTCTTATTGGGTATCAAAGTTCTCCACATAAAATTATTAATATGGGTCCACTTTCTCTGGTAGCCCCCATATAACAGTACCTCCCCCATTTTCGGCATTTTATGGTTCTTGAGCGTATTTTTTAACCGAATTTGAGGAAATTTGATACATTGGGGTTTTATTGGGTATTAATGTTTTCCTCGTAAAATTATAAATATGGGTCCCTTTTTCTGGTAACCTCCATAAAACGTTACGCCCCAATTTTCTTTTTTTGAGGTTTTTGAGCGCGGTTTTCCAACCAAATTCGTTGTAATTTTGCACTTTGCGTTCTATAGGTCACCACTAAAAATTATATAGTTATACTTTTTCCCCCAAAATGTTCAGTATTTTGAGCAAACAATTATGGCTTGTTTTTACAAGAGACATTTCCTTGACCGTGGCTATACCAACTGGCCACCAAAATCATGTGATTCGACACCATTAGACTTTTATTATGAGGCTATATTTCTTTGAGAGATGACCAATCAAGACTTCAAGAGCTAATTGTAGTAAATATTGCAAAACGATCCGCGATCGACTTCTAAATTTAATTTAAATCCCATTTGAAAATGTCAAAAATTTCCCTAGTCCTATCCATATGAATTACATACAATCTACTGTCCATTGAGTTTATACTGGAATAACAAGTTTAACCACAATAATACTGCTCAGGTGGTCTAATGACTTATAGAACAAAATATTTCTGATTAAATATTAAACATATTTTTATATACGATTACTTACTTTGGTGTAGCAATACCGCCATCATTCAAGAGCTTATAGGAAACATGTTCCTGGACATTTAGATTACGTTGCTGTTGGCTTTGGACAGCAGCAACCGAACCCAAAATCTGTTAATGAAATAATAACAAAATAGTAGAATTAGAATTAAAGTAAAAAAAACAACTTTTAACTAATTTCAAATGTAAATAAAAAAATCATGATTTAAAAAATAATATATTATTTTCCGCACCTCCAAACAAACTGATAACTAAGCAAGCTAGACAAGAAGCAACAACAACAAATAGATTAGACCCGGCAACAAAGTTTTTTTGAAGGCAAATTCCAAACTGGAATTTTTGTTTATGTCGAACAACAACAAGTCACGAGATTGTGGTGGATGGAGAGTGAGTGAGTCACAGGGTTTTGTTTGCTGTTAGCATAAATTTTAGGCCGCATAATCAGTGACGTCAAAATGTAGGCCGTCGTCGTCACCGCTCTTGCTGCTATCATGCTGACTGATTAAAAAGTCCAAACCACCAGTTGGTTTGGTTTACCGGTGATAAGATGTCGTTGGAAATTTCGCAAACAAACAATAGAAAAAGTATACGACAATTTTTTCGGGGAATAATATCACAAGTGAAATGCAAAAAAGACAAATAAAAAAAGTACAAGGTTCGCCATTGGCATCGCTGCTTTATATACTGCTCCTAACATTGATAAAAATACCTTCACTTTCGTTGTTGTTGTTATCGTGCAAAATTTTCTTTTTCAAACACACAAAAACAAAATCACACTGCAGGCAGGCAGCTGGCTAACATCCCACTTTACGGGGGGCAATGTTTGTGGGTATCACTATCTCCATGAAAAATATGTTACGTCACACATATTTTTGTTAATTTTTTATTGCATTATTTTGCTTTCTTTTCATTTTCTTTAAAATACTTCTCAACGCACACACAACTGATATTGTTTAATTTTCTTTTATCACCTCGGTCTCTCTCTCCCTCTTCACATCTCTTTCACCTTGACCGAGACGTCGTCGTTTTTAGCTTTCAAACCAACAATTTTTTCGCCAATTATGTAAAAATATTTGTTTGAATTTTTTGCTTTTCGTTTAATTTTTTTGCAAATTTTACCTTTTGACTGACTTTGGGATTGATTATTTCCTTTAAGAGATTGCTGCGCGTTATAACCGAAGCCATCTTGTGTGTATTTTCTATTTAAAATATACAATAATAAAATTAATTAACTAATTCCTATGAAATTCTCTTTAATAATAAATTTCTTTTTTTTTCGTTCAATCTGGCCTACCGTAATACTAAACGTCAAGTTAAATGATTACCGAATGAATAGTGAACAGTTGCAAAAAAAAGCTTTTTTGCGCTCTATGACAAATGTGGTACCGGTTATGCGAATAGGCACACACACATATATACACACACAACAAAGTAATCGAGTAATCTAGTCAGGTGTATTTGAAGCGCATAGGCAGGCAACACACGTTAAAAAACGACTGTGTGAGGAGAAAATAAAATGAAAAACAACAATAACAATACTGTAAATATGCCCAAGGAGAGTAATAACTCCCTCTCTTTGAATAAACATGCACAGCAATGTTCTCTTTTAACGGCAATGTCACACTAATGAGCATGCCTTGCGTCACTTCATGTCATGTGTTCAACGTACGTTACGTTACATCCACACTAATCGTAACTTGTTATTAAACGCTTGAAAAGGCGGGTATTTTTTGACATTAGAAGACAAAATTCAGTTAAAATAGTTATTTTTTGTGTATCTTTCTTTAAAAATTAAGAAATTATTAATGAATATTAAATACAATATTTAAAAATACTATAACTCAAAGTAATTAAAGGGTTATTAATAAAAAATAAATAAAATTTAGAGTAAAGCCTGTGAAATAGAACAATGACCATTGAGGCTGTTTCATAAAGTGGACAAAATGTATTTCATTGTTATGAGGTTTTGTATGCCCAAATAACCGATTTTTAATGTATTTTTTAATGTAAAATTAAATTTATTAAAATAATTAATTTAAGATGTTTTCAAAGTGTTTTGCAAGGCAAGTGTGGCACCACATTCTTAGAACCACATATCCTCCAAGTCGTGTTCTTCAATAGCAGGCTAAAAAAGTCGGTTATCATATGACCGTAACGCTTCGGATTGATGGTGTTGTACTCTCATAAGTTCTTTTTAATGTATTTTTAAAATTTAAAAATGAAATTAAAAAATATTAATTTAATATATTTTCAAAATTTTTTTGCAGGGCAAGTGTGGCACCGTCTTCTTAAAATCGTATTCTTCAATAGTCGGTTATCATATGACCAAAACGCTTCAAATTGATGGTGACAATCGTTCCATCGTCATTTTCAAGAAGTAAGGTCCAATCACACCTTCGGACCAAAGATTTCGCTGAGAACTGTAATAAAAAAAGTTTCGCTGAGAACTTTAAATGTACAAATCAGCAAATTTATAATCATATAGCCTTAGTCAATATTAAAAGTATAGGGAAATACAAAGGCCCAGCATAACTTTAAAGGGACATATATTTTTAATTGTGGATTTCCACAAGCTACAAATCTATCGCTGTAATCAGAAAGTAATTTTGATAAAAAATTTAAAAGGATCCGCGACCCGGCCCTAATCTAGACTCCAGTTTAAAGTTTGTATACCCTAAAAATAACTCAAATACCACTTCGTATTGCAAAAAAGTAGCTGCGCCTCTATAAGGGGCTATAACCAAACATAAACCAATATATATTATTTTTGGTATGAAAATTTGTCATCTAATGAGAACTTCAAATATCATATAAGAACCAATTCGGCTGAAAAACATGTTCGAAATCTCCAAAATAACTTGAGCTTTGGATGCCATAATATGGGGACTATACCCGAATGTGGACGGAAATTGATAATTTTTTGGAAAGAAGAATTGACGACCCAAAATGCCCGAAATACCAAAATTATACGGGCGCCACTCTAAAAAGTGGATCAATAATCATTATTTTTGGTAGGTACATTTCTACCAAATAAGAATTCAAAATATAAAATTACAACGAACTTGGTTCTAGAATTTGCGAGGTACCACTATTTAAATGCTATCCTAAAAAGTAGACCAATATTGATAGAAAAATTTACTAACCAATCATAATTCAAACTACCAAATTGCAGGCAATTCGGTTAAAAAATCGTCTCAAGGCATCGAATACAAAAATGAGAGCCGATATTGATAATTTTTGGTGGAAAATTTAATACCCAACGAAAAGCCAAACTACTAAATTACAGCCAATTTGATTGAAAATTGTGCCCCAACACACAAAAAATGGGAAACTTTTTCTATAGAAAAAATTGGTGATATGGCGTTTGTTACGGCTGAGTTGCTACACAGATCATTTCTGATCTGGAAGAATATTTTTGCCTACAAGATATTTTTCTCTATAAAAATAATCAAAATTTATCATGGCCATTTCTAAGTATTTTATATAATAGAAAAAATCTATATTCAACATTTTTATTATATGTAATCGTTTGCATTCCTATTTCATTACAGACTAAATGGAACACTTGAATCGGATCATTGATCTCTACTACAATCCTTGGAGTCTTATGGTTTAATTCGAATACACCAAAATTTAAATTTTAAAATTTCCTAAGAAATCAACCAAGGTCGAAACAGAAGTTACATTTCCAATTGGGTTAGTGCTGAGTCCATAATTTGACATTTACAAGGTGAGTTACAATTTATGACGCGCTTTCCTTCCATTAATACAAAACAAACGTAATAAACTATTTGACTCTTTCTCTCTCCTGGCATTCCAGAAGTCATCAATGGAATAAGGCTTGAGTGCAATTGGCGAAGACAATTTTTTGGATACCGTTACTTTACGATATACTGGAAATATGAGGTACAAGAAATTTCGATTCATTCAGTTGTTTGTGTGTGAGCAACTGACCGACCCATTGTCATTGTGATTTTCTTCAATGGCCACTATCATCAAGCCAACGAGCATCAAATCATCGATGACAGCAAAAACAACAACTACAACCAACGCTGAAACGCAACAGATGGAGGAGACAACAATCAAATCCAATTTAAACAGCGTTTCGAACGGTTGTGATTTTTCAACGACGTTCAAACGACACCTAACCACGTGTCTACAGCGTTGGCGGCAAAAGCATCCTTCCAGCAAAGCAAAGTCGAGCAAGAACAACGCCGAATTAAATTCATCTGAACACCAGCAGCAACAAAACGAGGAGGAAGAGTCTTATCGCCAATGCTCTTGCCAACACAGTACTAGGGGTGATAAATGGTTTAAGAAATATACACGCAAGGAGTTTTTTGCATTTCACTCCCACTGCGGCCTAACATCATCAGCGGTGGGTTCATCATTTATGCAACGTACAACAGTGTATTGCAGAACCTTAAATGCAAAATTATATAAAATTCTAATACCCAAAGAATTGCGACGTCGTTCCACAACTTCAACAGCAGCAACAACATCTACGATCGATGCTACTGGAGAAGTAGAGGAGGGCCCTCATCAACGTAACAACTGCAACAACAGCAGCGATCGTAAAGTTGAAATTGTGGCAAAACTATTATCATCGACCCTGGTAAGAACCAGTAATATTTCCACCTCAACATCCAACATCAGTCGCTACTTGGCGGCAGAACAGGAAAATTTCTATAGTCAACGTCGTCGCAACTCAGCCGATAGTGCATATCACAGTGTGGAAGAAAGTTTCGAGATCTTTCAAAGTTCCATAACATCATCGCGCACCACATTGGTGGGTAACGACGTTGACGACGATATGGTTGTCTCCGAATTAACATTTTTGGAAATTCGCGATGAGTATCCCGATTTGGATTCAGAAATTCGTAGTATTCTGACAGCACGTGCTCAGGATGGTGCTACCATATCGGATATAAGAGGTATGTAAATGAAATAGCTACATTAAGGATATATTCTATTTTTTATGAAAAAAAGTCATAAGTTGAGATCCAATATTTTTCCATAGAAAAAGCCGTCAGAATGTAACCAGGTTTTATAGAAAAAAATCCTCAGAAGCCTCCGAGGCCTTTTTCCTATAGAAAAACATGGTTGAGCTTCTGAGGGTTTTCCTCTAAAGTTAAGGATCGATTTTTTTTTACTTATTTTTGTTTCTATAAAAAAAATCAACCCAGCTTCTGAACACATTTTTTATAGAAATAATTTGGTTCTCAGCTTCTGAGGACACTTTTTTCTATAGAAAAAAATTTGCTTCTCAGATTTTGAGGATCGTTTTTCCTATAAAGGACAAAATGTTTTGCAAAAAAAAAAATTGGTCCTCCCCTAATGAGGACATTTTTTCTATAGACAAATATTTGGTCCTCAGCATCTGAGGACATTTTTTTCTATTGAAAAAAATTTGGTCCTCAGCTTCTTAGGACTTTTTTTCTATAGAAAAAAAAGTTGGTCCTCAGCTTCTGAGGACTTTTTTCTATAGAGGACATTTTTTTCTATAGAAACAAATTTAGTCCTCAACTTCTGAGGAAAATAATTTACTCCTCCGTATCTGATGATTTTTTTTTCTATAGAAAAAATGTTGTTCCTCTGCTTTTAAGGCATTTTTCTATAGCTACTGAAGATTTTGGTATTTTTCCATATAAATTGTCATTTAAATAATTTTTTTCCTTCCAGATGATTATCGCAAACTAACCGGTCTTACCTTTCCCATATATGAATCTGTTACGGAATTTCTTCTAACCATACCATATGTCTCGGCGTATTGTAATGAAAATGGTACACGTATCTTTAATATACGGCCGATGGAGAAGACTAAACATATACATAATATGGTTATGGAACAGAAACCTCAACAAGAATCAAACATCGGTCACAAGGCGACAACAACAACAATCAATCATCGACGTTATCGTGAACACCAACGAAATACAAATTATTATCCAAATAATTATAAACGTCATAATCAGCAGCAGCATCATTATCAACAGCACCAACAACATCAACCACATCAGCATCATTTCTATGAACCATTGCAACCGAAATCGGGACCACAACAAATGGTTCCTTTTTCCAAGCAAATGACATCCCAAAATGCTGTTGTTACCGATAATCTAATGCTGAAATCGGCTAACACTGATAAGATTGCTGTACAACAAGATAATTCTGAAGGTTTTGTTGAGGATAATTGGATTTATAATGATAATTGTAATTATTTGTAAGTAGAACTTTTGGTTTGAAAATTAAATTTTAAAATAATTCACATTTACCCTTCCTTGCAGACTCAATCGCATACACAGCCAAGAACCTGTTCCCACTATCTATACCAATCAAATGATGATACCTATCAACGACATATATACCGCTGATGATCCACACTATAATCAGCAGCCACAAAATCTACAACAATTTGTTAATGCAGTACCCGCCGCTGGTCAAAATAATTGCAATATTCATCCAAATATTGTCATGCCATTGTCATCATCATGTGAAAATAATATGAATTATCTAAATAATTTATTTCAAAATCATGAATTGCCAACAAATATTGTTAATACTAATAATAATAATAACAACAACATAGCTCTTGGTAGTACCAATGTTGGTGGTGGTGATGTCCTAACAACAAATCCTCGACGTTCTTCTTATGGAACGCAGAAAAGTCTAATGCCTCGCTCGAGCAGATCATCATCGCCCACAGCCAAAAGTTGTTATACAAATGATTCCATGTATACCGATAGTGATTATGAAGCACATCTTCTGGATTTTCTTTTACTGGGAGATGATTTCTTTTTGTATATGGCCCGCATGGAGCTTAGGTGTAAATTCAAAAAACGTAAGCCACTTCCTCTTTGATATTTAGAAGTAATAAACAAAATTTATTTATTTTTTTGCTATTCTAGGTCAAAAAGTTTTACAATCCGGTCTATGTGTATCGGGCCAAACAATTAGCGCTGCAATAAAACGTGTTTTAAACCTCAATGATAATGGTCGTTCGATTATTGTCAATATCGGTTCAGTTAATATAATGCAGGGACGTCAATTAATCCAAATCCAACATGAATATCGTGAACTATTAACGATAATGTTGAAAAAAGGTATACGGCCGATTCTAACGACATTGGCACCGTTGGCAAACTATACACATGATGGTGAAATGAAACGAACCCTGGAACGTTTCAATCAATTTGTTAAACGTGAAGGAGAACGTAACAATTTAATTGTCATAGATATCTGGAAGTGTTTGGTGAATGAAAAAGGTTGTGCGAGGTTCGATTGTTACCAGAAGTAAGTAAGCCCGGAGAAAATTAACTATTCATTAACAAAATCTCAGAAAAAAATGGCTTCAGATCTGAGGATTACATTTTTTCTATAGAATATGGCATCGCAAGCTGAGGATTAATTTTTTTTTCAATAGAAATAAGGCATAAGAGGCAGAGGACCAACTTTTTTTCTATAGATGACGAAAAAAATCCCTTAGAAGCTGGGGACCAAATTTTTTTTTATAGAAAAAATGACTCAAAAGGACAATTTTTTTATAGAAAAAAATGGCCGTGGAAGCTGAGGACCAAATGCCCCCAGAAGCTGAGGAGAACATTTTTTTCTATAGAAAATGTCCTCAGAAGCTGAGGAGCAAATTTTTTTCTATAGAGAAAATGCCTCAGAGGACCATTTTTTTCTATAGAAAAAAAATGTCAGACGCTGAGGACCAAATGTCCTCAGAAGCTGAAGACCAAATGTCCTCAGAAGCTGAAGACCAAATGTCCTCAGAAGCTGAGGACCAAAATTTTTTCTATAGAAAAAATGTCAGCTTTTGAGGACATTTTTTTCTATAGACCTGAGGACCAAATTTTTTTTCTATAGAAAAAAATGTCCTCAGCAGCTGAGGACCAAATTTTTTTTTCTACAGAAAAAATGTCCTCAAAAGCTGAGGACCAAATTTTTTTCTATTGAAAAAAAATGTCCTTTTTCTACAGAAAAAATGTGGTCCTCAGCTTGTGGTCCTGAGACAAAAATAGAAGAAAAATCCTGCGGTTCTGCTGGTCCATGAGAATTTCTTTTTTAAATCCACGCCTTTGCTGCTCCTTGAAAAAATAAATAACCAAAAAATCCACTATTCTGCTGGTCATTGAAAAAATTAGAAATAATCTCCCATTTTTTTATTTCCAGCGAACCCCGCAATGTCACCGGCGCTGCTGAACCATATCTATTCTGGAACAACATCGGTCGCCAGCGTGTACTGCAATTAATCGAATCTCAGTTGGAATATTGAAACCAAATGTGATAAAAAAAAGAAACAAAGCTGCTTTTAAAAACTCTCCATTGTTTTAAGTCCCAAACGAAACGCCGCCCCCTGGAACGCTGTTTTAACCTTAAGAAAATATTATTTATCCTGTTTTTGTAATTTTCATGTTATTTTATGTTTGTCCCCCAATCCAAAAATGCTATATATGTATGTTTTCAATGTTGTATTGTGTTTATGTGTATCCATTTTTATGTTATATGTATGTTTATGTAAAGAAAAATCACCATGTGCCTAATGTAAGGGAAATGTGTCAACACTAGGTCTAGATCTAAGCTTAGTTTAATTCCCAAAAAAATAGTTAAATTTATTTAGTTTTAAGTTAGGTCCCTCCCCCAATTTGCTCTTTATTTCTCTACAAAAGCTGGTATTTTGTTGTGGAGATAAAGAGAAGCTGGATTTTTTGAAATTTTCCAAGGACTTTTTGAGGTTAAGAAAAGTCTTGCAAAATTTCAAGAAATTTGCCAATTAAAGAAAATTGTCTTCTCATTCTATGGGTTGTTGTCTTCCTGTCTAAATTGTTGTCCCTTGTCCCCTCCCTTGCTAATCAAAGTAAAGTATTCTTTTGTGTATTGGTGCACAAATATATAAAAGTCAATACAATTATTTTGATATATCTTAGCAATAGTTATTAGGGTTTCCCCTCGTTCACTTCTATTTTTCATTCCCCCCATCCCTTAATGTCCGCTTGGCCATCGAAATCAATTTGAAACTATCTCAAATCAATGCCGCGGTTGATTTTTGTTAATTAACAAGTTTTATAATTGATTCTAACCAAGCATGTTGTTGCAAGTCTAATTTTCTGTTTCTTATTGGAGTTCTTGTATGTTCTATGTCCCAAAAAACTACTCTTGAAGTATTGAAATTTTAATCTGATTTTAATATTTCAACTGTAGTTTTTCCCCGTTAGTTATTATAGTTAGTATTTTTATAGTTCCGATTATTTTCCTTACATTACCGTACATACAAAGTAATCTATGTTTTGTGTTTTTTTGTTAATTGTACATAACCTCAAAAAAGAAAAGAAACAAAAAATGTTAAAAAAGAAATGTTTTTTTAAATGCTCCTTATAAATCTCTTCCTTGCTCTGGTGTTCAACATCTTATGTGTGCTTGTATGTATGATTGTCCCTGTGTATGCGTGTAAACTTGTGTCAAACCATAACAAGCTCCAAAAAAATTAAAAAAAAAAAAAAATAAAATAAAATTGAAACAAACAACATAAAAAAATTTTGAAACAAAAACATAAAAATGATTTTAAATGAAGGTGAATAACAGAAAGGAGTGAAGAATTTATAGACCGGCTGAAGGGAGTATTTATAGACGAGCTGAGCTAGACGAGCTGGGAGTCTTTATAGACGAGCTCAAGTGAGTCTTTATAGACGAGCTGAAGGGAGTCTTTATAGACGAGCTGAAGGGAGTCTTTATAGACGAGCTGAAGGGAGTCTTTATTGACGAGCTGAAGGTAGTCTTTATAGACGAGCTGAAGGGAGTCTTTATAGACGAGCTGAAGGGAGTCTTTATAGACGAGCTGAAGGGAGTCTTTATAGACGAGCTGAAGGGAGTCTTTATAGACGAGCTGAAGGGAGTCTTTATAGACGAGCTGAAGGATGTCTTTATAGACCGGCTGAAGGTAGTCTTTATAGACGAGCTGAAGGGAGTCTTTATTGACGAGCTGAAGGGAGTCTTTATAGACGAGCTGAGTCTTTATAGACGGGAAGGTCTTTATAGACGAGCTGAAGGGAGGGGAGCTGAAGGGAGTCTTTATAGACGAGCTGAAGGGAGTCTTTATAGAGCTGAGCTGAAGGGAAGTCTTTATAGACGATAGTCTTTATAGACGAGCTGAAGGGAGTCTTTATAGACGAGCTGAAGGGAGTCTTTATAGACGAGCTGAAGGGAGTCTTCATTGACGAGCTGAAGGGAGTCTTCATTGACGAGCTGAAGGGAGTCTTCATTGACGAGCTGAAGGGAGTCTTTATAGACGAGCTGAAGGGAGGCTTTATAAAACAATTGGAGATAGTCTTAACAGACCAGGTGGAGGTAACGGAGATCTGTATAGACGAGCTGAATAGGTCTTTATAACCCAGATAGAGGGAGTTTTATAGAAGAGCTGGATGGGGGTTTTATAGACGAGCTGAAGGCCAGGAAGTTTTTATAGACGAGCTGAATAGACGAGCTGAAAGGAGTTTTTATAGACAAGCTGAAGGGAGTCTTTATAGACGAGCTGAAGGGAGTCTTTATAGACGAGCTGAAGGGAGTCTTTATAGACGACCTGAAGGGAGTCTTTATAGACGAGCTGAAGGGAGTCTTTATAGACGAGCTGAGGGGAGGCTTTATAAAACAATTGGAGATAGTCTTTACAGACCAGCTGGAGGTAACGGAGATCTGTATGGACGAGCTGAATGGGTCTTTATAACCTAGATATGGGAGTTTTATAGAAAAGCTTGATGGAGGTTTTTAAGTCTAACTGAAGGGAATCTTTATAGACGAGAAAGAGGGGGGTATTTTTAGACGATCTGGAGGATGTTTTTATACGATTAAATGAATATTTATAGACGAGCTGAAGGGAGTCTTACCAGCAGAAGGGAGAATAAAATTTGGACTCAGTTTCGGAGGTATTTTCTCTATACGAGATAATTGGTCCTCAGTTTCTCGAGACTTTTTTGGTCCTTATCGGTGCTGACGCAATTTTTTCCTATATGAAAGTTGTATATCCAGAAGAAGACCTCCCCCTCTTATATAGGAGGAAGAAGGCCTCCAGCTAATCTATAGGAGGAAGAAGACCTCCAGATCTTCTATATGAGGTAGAAGACCTCCAGCTCTTTTATATGAGGTAGAAGACATCCATCTCTTCTATAGGAAGAAGACCTCTAGCTTTTCTATAGGAGGAAGAAGACCTCCAGCTCTTCTATAGGAAGAAGAAGACCTCCAGCTCTTCTGTGGGAAGAAGACCTCCAGCCCGAAATGAATTTTTTCCACTGTGAATTTATGTTTACAACCGCGAATTTTTCATTTTGTACTACCGGGACCCCCCGAAATGAAATCCTGTGTACGTTGCTGCCTCCAGCTCTTCTATGGGAAGAAGAAGACCTTCTTTAAGAAGGGCGGGAGGTATATTTTTTTATAGAAAACATTTCGTCCCCAGTTTCTTCTCAGAAGCTGAGAACATTTTTTTCTATACGAAAAATAAGGTAGTCAGCTTCTGAGGACATTTTTTTCTATAAAAACAAATTTCGTCCTCAGTTTTTGAGGCATTTTTTTCTATAGAAAATATTTGGTCCACAGCATCTGAGGATATTTTTTTCTGACCTTCTGAAGCATTTTTTCTATAGAAAAAATTTCCTCTATAAAAAAATTACCATTTTTTTCTATAGAAAACAATTTGTCCATCGTCTTCCGAGGCCATTTTTCCATATAAAAATAGGCCCAATGAACAATTTTTTCTATAGAAAAACATTTGGACCTCAGCATTTTTTTTCTATAGAAAAAATTACGTCCTCAGATTCTTAGGACACTTTTATCTATAGAAGAAAATTTCGTCCTCAGCTTTGAGAACATTTTTTCTATAGAAAAAAATTTGGTCCTCAGCTGCTGAGGACATTTTTTTCTTTAAAAAAAATTTCGTCCGCAGCATCTGAGGATTTGTTTCTATAGAAAAAAATTTGGTCCTCAGCTTCTTGGACATTTTCATCTGTAGAAAAAATTTTGTCGTCAGCTTCTGAGGACATTTTTTCTATAGAAAAAAATTTGGTCCTCCTTTTTGGACATTTTTTTCTATAGAAAAAAATTGTTTTCAACTTTTGAAGACATTTTTTCTATAGCGAAAAAAATCGTTCTCAGTTTCTGAGGACATTTTTACTAGAGAAAATATTTGGTCCAAAGCTTCTGAGCATATTTTTTTTCTATAGAAAAAAAGTTGGTCGTCAGCAAAAGCTGAGGACATTTGATAGCAAAAAATGGCCGCAAAAGCTGAGGACAAAGATTTTCTATAGAAAAAATTGCCTCAAACGCTGAGGACAATTTTATTTTTATAAAAATGACCTCTGAAGCTTAGAACACAAAAAAATCTTAGACTTTTTTGCTTTATTTTTCAAAACCTATATACCTAATATAGTGCCGCCATGGGAGGCAGATTATCTACAAATTTTTTATGTAATTTTTTGCATTTCTATGATCTTTAAATATTTCCGGTTTTCCTTGGTTGGGTAAAGGAACACACGTTCACACACACTCCGAATATGTTCACGTGGTTGCTGTTGCCATTGCAAAGAAATCCGGTCTATAATGTGCTGTGTTATAAGTTATGCTCCATTTAAACACGTTTAAATGACATGCACTTGGTTTCCTCGAACCGAAATAGTGACAGTCACTTTAATGCCAACACAAAATTATTATTAAACAAAATGCAAAATAGCTTATGTGGAGATGGGGAAAACAACTTAAACTCAATACTTTCAAATTTTTAGAATATACATATATGTACATATATTTTTTCAATATTCATTGATATTTAAGAATATTTTCCTTTTGACATTGTCTGACCTTAATTAAGCCTTGTGGAAGCCCAAGAATTTTATCTCAATATTTTAATGAGGGATATCACACTTGGTTTTCTAGCCCCCTATAAGTTTATATATGTATGTATGTACGTAGAAACCACAGGCTTTCTATAAAACCTATATTTGCTCAAACTCAAACACACACACACACACTTACAGACATACATACCTACATAATCGTATGTACTTCTTCAATAACATATTACTAACTAACAGCAACTATCCAGCTATCCTTCCTTTGCCTATATAATATTTATATAAATAGAAGAAGAAAAAAAAACTACCGGGTTCAATATACTGCACTGCATCACATATCCCTGCATTTCTTGGGCACACCACACACACACAATTGTCGGGCAATCCTTTTGCAAACACACATTTATATCCTTTACAATACACGGACACACATAAACAAATGTAAATATGTG